TCCACATTTGATGTGTTTTTTTCTTTCAGTGCAAATTAAAAGTTTATCCTAAGATCCTCTTCTACATAAGCCAGCATTAGATTTTTATACCCACCCAAAATTCATATTATAACTAAAGTAAGTCTACAGAGAGGATGCTAGGAAATGCTATATGGCCAAATGTTTGTGGACATCTGACCTTTCCACCTATAAGATGCTACCAGGGCACCAGGCTGCTGTACATGGGGCCCCTATAGCCAACCTGACAGGGGCCCCCTCCAAAAACCAACAGTTTACGTCACTTCAGTTATGATTGAACACAGTGAGTGATTGGTACCGATCACTCATTGTGTTCATTCATTCAAGAAAGGGGGCTAGTAAATGTAACATATTTACCGGAACCTTTTCCCCCACTCTCCATTCTGAAGGACCCTATTGAGTGCTTGCAGCTGCTGGCGGCAAGCAGAGGAGGGACACCGGCAGCACTGCAGGGGTGCGGACACACAGGGAGCCTGGGCTGCAGAGGGAAATGTATGGTGCACAGGGAGGGTGATGGGTATAGCGGGGGGTGGGGTAATTATTGGAACCAATTCCCTGTATGGCTATCTCTGCAGCAGCTGGGAGGGAGAGAAGAAGAATTCAGCTTTCAGCTGCTGCAGGAGGGATTGGTTGCAGCACCCCCCCACATACACACACACACACACACATACACGTCATGCTGATCACACTCACTGCCCACATCCAATTCACCTAGCTGTCTGGGCCCCCCTGCTGGCCTGGGCCCCGTACAGAAGGTACCCCCTATCCACAGCCCTGGATGTTACTGGACATTACATATCAAAACCATGGGCATTCATATGGATTTATTTCCCAACCTCGACCCCACCTCACCCCCCTTCTGCTTATGGGAAGGCTTTCCATAACATTTTTGAATGGCTATGGGAATTTGTGCCCATTCAGCCTAAAGAGCTTGTAATAAGTGTTCAAGGTTAGGGGTCTGTGTAGACCACTCAAGTACCTCTACACCAGACTCATCAGATCATGTCTCTTAGCAGTGGCATCCCTAGGGGGGTGCGGGCCGCACTGGGTGACACCATCACAGGGGGTGCAGGAGCAAGATTCCAGCAGAGCTTCTGGGCTCTGTGAAGGTTCTGGCCAGTTATTGGGGTGATCCCGGATTCCTGGCACAGTGACAGCTGCCCCCCAGTGTAGTGATAAAATGAGTATCCTGTGAAGATTTATGTATCCCCCTGAAGCAACTGCGCATGTGTCGGTTTCAGGCCGAAGAAGCCGATCGCAGATCTCCGACTTTAGCACAGAGCTGCCACAGTTAACCCCTTACAGGCTACAAATTGCTGAAATTGATCCCATGGATCACTGTATAGGTTCAACCTATACGGGGTTAACTGATCTTGCAACCCATAGCGATCTGCGGGATCAGCTTCAGCGGTTTCCAGTCTGTAAGGGGTTAACTGTGGCAGCTCTGTACTAAAGTTGGAGATCGGCTTCTTCGGCCTGAAACCAGCACATGCATAGTTGCTTCAGGGGGATACATATCTTGATGGGATACTCATTTTACCACTACACAGGCACCGCTCCTTAGTCTCTGGAGGGGTGACACCAGTGGGTGTTACCGCACTGGGTGACACCAACCCTAGGGATGTCTTTTTGGAGCTGGCTTTGTGTACAAGAATACAATTATGCTAGAACAGAAAAGGGCCTTCTCCAAACTGTTACCACAAGGTTGGAAGTACACAGTTGTCAAAACCATCCTAGCATTATCAGTACCAGGGGCGGACTGACCATTGGGAAACTCGGGCACTGCCCGAGGGCCCGGGGGTCGGTAGGGGGCCCCATGAGATGCCCCTGGTACCTTTTTCATAGGCTTTTTTGAGTTTGGGCAAGGACACAGGGGCCCCATGATCCCCTATTGCCCGGGGGCCCCATGAGTTGTCAGTCCACCCCTGATCAGTACCCTTCATTGGAAACACCTAAACTCAAAAATCTGGCCATATAGTGTAGCAGTAGTAGCTCACTGCTTTCTTTCACTTGTTGCCTGGAATGACTCTTTAATGGAATATCATATAAAGACAAATTTAAACAGAATAACAACCTATATAAAATACAACATTTGGGGATTATGACACCATTCAGCGAGCGTAATAAACTGAGAGATTTGTTAAGCACCAATCTCCAGAGATTCTCCAACCACCGCTCAGGAGCCCAATCCTCATTTGCATAAGCAGATACCGAAACAGTGAGGCGTGAACGCCGAAGGGCACGGACGAAAGCGATGCCGGATGATTTTGCACATCAATAACCTAATTCAGACCCGTGCAAGTCTTGTTTTAAATGGTTCAGAGTTTGCTTCTCTTTCCAGCAGAATGCACAAGTGAAACATCTCATTAATACGAAAGGATAACCAGTTTTCCGCGCAGTCTAAATTTGCAGTGACAGTCTTTGGCATCCACCGTGTGTTTACCGTAATTTCCCCGCGTCTAAAGCCATAACATATTTCCGCTGTCTCATGTCTCATTAACCTCATTATAAATCATCATGCAGGCCTGATGGAATGTGTTATTAAAGAACGAAGCTGACTTATTGTGAAATAGATGGCTACATTCATATCTTCATAACACCGCTGTGGTGACCTGTGCCTCTGCTTCTCCTTCAGCTATGTGTTTCTGTAATGAAATTTGCTGTTTGTTAAAGATAATTACCCAGCTGATCGATTTAACTGCAATAGGCCAGCACTTAATAATCATAAAATGAAAGCTTTAGTCAATGCATGTTGTTTAGTACACCGACTGTCGGAAGTAGTCAAGTGAAAACCACAACGTGGTCCTTTTAATTCTAACTTTTAGTTATAGAAATTATTATGTTTATCCCAAAAACCATCTCAGTACAAAAAAGGGAATGAGTCAGCGAAATGACATTGCAATCTAGGGTACTGCTGCTATTTTAAATTAAGAAAGCAAACTGAATACATATAGCCAAATGTTTCTTAACACCTGACCATCACGCCTATATAAGCCATTCTAGATGGGCCTTGACCATTAGCCGCCCGGCCTATAGCCGTTTGGCGGCCGCAAAAATGCTCTAGCTTTCCGGGGTGTACGCCATTTGGCGTCCTCCCACACATGCGCGGTTGCAGAGCCACGCAGCGTGGCGCGATCTGTCACCGGCCGTGTAGCTCGGACACAACCGATGACAGATCTGAGTACCGGCCCCCATTGCCGGTACCATGTGACCTGCTGTGACCAATCACAGCAGGTCACATGACAGTTGTATACAATTGATGGCTTCATTCATGCCATCCATTGGATACTAGTGCCTAGCTGTGAATGGTCACAGCAGGTCACATGCACATGTCGTGTGATTAGCTGTGGCCAAATCACAGCTAAGCACAAAAAAAAAAAAAAAAAAAAAACCTGAATGAATCGATTTCATTCAGGTAAATGCTTGCTTATAGCAAAGTAATTCTTTGCTATAAGCAAATTGTGTAAAAAAAATAAAAATAAAATACTGATCACTTCCCCAAAGTAGTACAATGTTACTATGGTAACATTGTACTACTTTGGTCATAGTAAAATATGAAAAAAAATCTTAAATTTTTTTTTAAAAAATGTAATAAAAAATAAATAAAAAAATATATATATATATATTTTTTTTTTTCATACTGTCACCAGTCAGTGTCCCTGTTCACCGCTATGCCAGTTATATGATGATGCTGTACTGCACTGGTGACAGTATGTAAAAAAAAAAAATAGTGAAAATAATTTTTTTAATTTTTTCATTTTCCGAAACATTATGACAAAAAAAAATACAACTTCAAAAAACTCGCCATTCCTCTTATGAAGTACGTTGGACTGTCTACTCTGCAAAAAGGGGTCATTTGGGGGATATCTGTACTGTTCTGACATTCTTGGACCTCAAGAAATTAGATTGGCTGTCAGTACTTCAGGATTGACCAATTTTCAGATCTATACCATAGTTTGTGAACTCTATAACTTTCCTACAAACTAAATAATACATCCTAATTTGGGTTATTTTCACCAAAGACATGTAGCAGAATACATCTCGGCCTAAATTTATGAAGAACAATTATTTATTTGTAAACTTTTATAACAGAAACAAAGAAAAAACGTGTTGTTTTTTTTCAAAATTTTTGGTCTTTTTTTGTTAATTTAGCAAAAAATAAAAACCCCAGCGGTGATTAAATACCACCAAAAGAAAGCTCTAGTTGTGTGAAGAAAATGATAACATTTTAGTTTGGGTACAATGTTGTATGACCGTGCAATTGTCATTCAAAGTGTGAGAGCGCTGAAACGTGAAAAATGGCCTGGGCAGGAAGGTGTAAAAATGCCCGGTATTGAAATGGTTAATATGGAGTTTTTTCCCTTCATGACTATAACAGCCTCCACTCTTCTGGGAATGCATGCCACAAAAACTATGTAGTGTCTCTAGGCACTCTGTAGTATATTCACTGACCTGAAGATGGCACTGTGCCATTGCTTCAGATTGGCAGGGGTCTAAATTGTCCTCTGTTATGGACTCCAGGCAACCATCTTTGAGAGGACGGCATCTCCTTTTGCCAAAAAGTTGGACATGTATCTGCATAAAAGGTAGTTTTTACATCATTCAACGTGCCCATGGTCTGAGAGTGGGATGTGGACAGATCCCCGCCGGGTAGGCAGAGAGAAGTAGAGAAGCCTGCTGAGGAGTGAAAGAGTCAGAAGTACATAAAAGGCAATTTTGCATCATTCAAAATGCCCGCAGTCTGAGAGTGGGATGTGGACAAATCCCTGCTTGGTAGGTAGAGAGAAATAGAGGAGCCTGCTGAGGAGTGAAATAGTGGGTTTCCCCTTACAGGGTGTCTCTTCTGCCAGCTTACCAGAACTGTCTCCCTCCTGCAGTTGGATAACTGCAAGCAAGAACAGTTAAAGGGCAAACATTTTTAAACCTACTACAGGACAATTTTATGGTACAGTTTATAGAGGCCCCAACTAGAAATGATGCTCTGCTGGACCTGATAATCTCAAACCAAGCAGAGCTTATTATGAATGTCCATATAAAAGAACATCTGAATAGCAGTGACCATAACATGATTTCATTTATTGTTAGCTGTAAACAGCAAGCACATACGGGAAAAATAAAAATACTCCATTTTAAGAGAGCTAATTTTCCAAGGGCCAAAGTTAAAAAAGCTATAGATAATAAGAAAAGGGATTTTATTAAATATAAAAATGAAGGAATGCATCATAGTTTAAAAATTACAAAGAATATAACGGAATATGCAAAAAGGAAATTAGGCCGCAAAAATTGAAAACGAATGACAGATTGCAAAAGATAGCAGGACAAACCCCAAAAAATTCTTCAAATATATTAATAGTAAAAAGGTCCAGTCCGAGCATGTAGGCTCTTTACAAAATAATCTAGAGTGCGTGATTGGGGAAAAAGAGAAGGTAAATTTATGAAATACTTTCTTCAGCTCTGTGTATACAAAGGACCTTGGGGGAGCTCTTGTCCATAATGGGCATGGTATTGACACAGCTCCAGATGATCCACATTGGCTCACAATTGATATGATCCAAAAATATTTAGACAGAATAAAGGTGAATAAAGCACCTGGACGGATGGCATACATCCAAAAGAATTGAGCTCTGTCATTTCAAAGCCATTGTTTCTAATTTTTAGGGACTCTTTAATGACTGGCATAGTACCACTGGATTGGTGTAAGGCCAATGTGGCGCCAATATTTAAAAAGGGGTCAAAATCTTTACCAAGTAATTATAGACCTGTTAGTTTAACTTCTATAGTTGGGAAGACACTGGAGAGTTTAATAAAAGACCACATAGATGAGTTCTTGCTGGAAATAAATATTTTAAGCAACAGACAGCATGGATTCATGAAACAAAAAGCAGACAAGAGCGCACTCTCATCGTGCATTACCGTGGTACACCATGTATTTATTGTGTAGACAAATAGATGTATACTCACAAACCAACGGAAATTAAAAGCAATTTGGTAGTCTGCAAAAACAGTCAGTAATGCTGTGCCCTTAATAGGGATAATCTGCCGTGTTTCGGAAGATGAACCCCCTTCCTCAGAGCTTTAGCTGAAAGCTCGAGAGGAGAGGAGAGCCGGTAATCGGCATTCCGCGGAGAGGACATGTACACTAATCATCAGAGCACTGATGATCAGTGTGCCCTGATGATCTGTGTAGCCCCAACAGTGCCAGCTGTCAGTGCTCATCAGTGCCACGTGCCAGTGCCCATCAGTGCCACATCAATGCCACATATCAGTGCCCATCTGAGCTGCCTTTCAGTGTCACCCATCAGTGCCAGTCAGTGCCACCCATCAGTGTCAGTCAGTGCCACCTATCAGTGCTGCCAATCAGTGCCGCCTATCAGTGCCAGTCAGTGCCGCCTATCAGTGCCAGTCAGTGCCGCCTATCAGTGCCGGCTAACAGTGCCAGTCAGTGCCATCTAACAGTGCCAGTCATTGCCGCCTATCAGTGCCAGTCAGTGCCATATATCAGTGCCATATATCAGTGCCATATATCAGTGCTGCCTTTCAGTGCCCATCAGTGATGCCTGTCAATGCCCATCAGTGCTACCTACCAGTGCCTCCTCATCAGTGCCCATCAGTGCCACCTATCAGTGTCCATCAGTGCAGCCTATCAGTGCTCATCACAGCAGCCTCATTAGCGCACATCAGTGCAGGAGAAAAATCACTTATTTACAAAATTTTATAACAAAAACTAAGAAAAAACATTTTTTTTTCAAAATTTTCAGTGGTTTTCGGTTTAAGAAAAAAATAAAAAAAAACAGAATTGATTAAATACCACCAACATAAAGCTCTATCTGTCCCAAAAAATGATAAAAAATGTCATATGGGTACAGTGTTGCATGACCGCGCAATTGTCATTCAATGTGCAACAGCGCTGAAAGCTGGAAATTGGCCTGGACAGGAAAGGGGTATAAGTGCCCTGTAGGCTTTTGGTTAAAAAACTGTTGACCTACTGGGATTTTCACACACAACCATCTCTAGGGTTTACAGAGAATGGTCCGAAAAAGAGAAAAAGATATCCAGTGAGCGGCAATTGTGTGGCTGAAAATGCCTTGCTGATGTGAGAGGTCAGAGGAGAATGGGCAGACTGGTTGGAGATGTTAGAAAGGCAAAAGTAACTCATGTCAATATGGACCAAAATCTCTGCGCAATGGTTCCAACACCTTATTGAATCTTTACCACGAAGAATTAGGACAGTTCTGAAGGCAAAAGGGGGACTAACCCGGAGCTAGCAAGGTGTACCTAATAAGGTGACTGGCGAGTGTATATCTCCTCAAAGGGAAATGCTCCTCAGACATTCTGTTTTCTGTAAGCTCAGGTTATATCAGTATTGAAGGCATACCGTTGCTGTAAACTGCATCATTATTGTGATTGTTTTAAGTAGTACAATATAAACAACTTTCAGGTAGTCATGTGTGTTGACTCCCAATTCTTAAATACACTGGTAAGTCCCCGCCTACATTAGGATTTTTTTGCCCATTCAGCCAAAAGAGCATTTGTGAGGTTAGGTAATGGTGTTGGATATGAGGACCTGGCTTGCATCTCAAAATCCAATTCATTCCAAAGGTGTTCAGTAGGTTTGAAGTCAGGGATCTGTGCAGCCAATCAAGTTCCTCCACACCAAACTGGTCAAACCATGTGTAGGGATCTGCTGTCATATACTGTCTGCTGCTAGTATCATACTGTAATGTTTAAATATGTATGTCACTTCATGACTCTGGGATTGTTGGGAAAAGATCCTGGAAGGAGGAAATCGAGAGAGAGAAGTTCTCAGCCACATTTCCTGTCCATGCTTTTAAAACCAGATCAGAAGAGACAATTATACAAGTATTTCTATGCTCTAATAGTTTAACCGCAGCTGCTCATAGCTTCTTGAGAGTATTGCTGGATCCTTGTGACAAATAGAGTGTTTCTGTGCTATTACTATCTCACATGCACAGTGCCGCATAACTAGGACTGCATTCCAGGCTGGTTAGGTAACAGCTAGACGGTCTCCTCATCAATGCAGATCTTGTATTCAGTTCTCCAACACAAGGACACATGCCATATCTTCCTCAGGGTACCCTGCAATGGCAATAATACCTATATATACCCAGGTATATGTGCAAAGTCCAACTTAAACTCCTATGGGGTCCTTTTCTGATAATATCTGTTTGTACATTGAATTAATGTGCAGTACTCTTATTAATCCTTTCTTATATAGAGATCATATTATTTCTATACTGGTGTGCATCTATATGCTTATGGTTAATGTTGCAGTACTTCTTCCGCTTCCAATTACTTTGATTAGATTACTGGCTAATTTCCCAGGAAGGGAATCCCCTCTGTTCACTGTGCTGGATTGAGGCACTGCCAACTTTATGATCAATCCCACTCTTTCTCTTAGCAAAAGTTCTAGTTCTGTTATTTACATTCAGGTTTAACACAATATCCTGTTTGTGAAGGGCCATTTCTCGTAAACCCCCCCCCCCCCCCCCCCCACCCCCCCGCATCCCCAAAAGAGGGCTACACATGTCTTTATGGAACTGGCTTTGTATATAAGGGCAAACAGAAAAGAGCTTCCCCAAACTGTTACCCCAAGGATAGAAGTCCATAGTTGTCAAAAGTTATTATATGCTGTCGCATTACCAGTACTCTTCACTGGAATCACCGAAATTCAAAAATGTGGAAGCAAGGGGTTTCTATAAACTTTTGGCCATATGATAAATCTGATATTTATAAAAAAAAAAAAATACTTTCAGTGCAGTTTGGCAGCTGTTACCTATTTCTATAGGGGTATACCAGGATTCTAGCACCAGTATCACTGCTGTAAGACCATTATTTATTTCAGGTACTTATATAGCGCCATCAATTTACACAGCGCTTTACACACACATATATATATATATATATATATATATATATATATAGTACATTCACATCAGTCCCTAACCCTCAAGGGGAGTACAATCTAAGGTCCCTAACTCACATTTATACATACACATACTAGGGCCAGTTTAGACAGGATCTAATTAACCTACCAGCATGTCTTTGGAGTGTGGGAGGAAACTGGAGTACCCGGAGGAAACCCACACAGGCACAGGGAGAACATGCAAACTCCAGGCAGGTGGTGCCATGGCTGGGATTTGAACCAACGACCCTAGCACTGCCAGGCGGAAGTGCTAGCCATTTAGCCACTGTGCTGACCATTAAAGTGTTAGTAAACCCAGGACCCTGCATTCACTATATCTGCTCTCCCACAGCACACAGTATCAATGCTGATGACAAGCAAATCACTATTAACATATAAAAAGAACCCAACTTGGACATCGTCTGCTTGGAGGAAAATCAAGCTGCAGTTTAAAAATAGGATAATAAAATTGGGTTTCATTTAAAGGGCTGCTAGCCCTAAAACCAAAAACAGTCACATTCTAGGCATTGTGTTGCTATTTCTGCATATCTGGTCTCCCACAGTACACAGAACATGGAAATGCAATTATTTTAGTAAATATAAACTGCTAAATACCTTCTCATCAGCAGTTAGAGCAGTCTTGTGACTTCTATCAGTGTCCAGCAGAGCACTGGTTAAAGCTTGTAGGAGGAGTTTTCTTTCTGCTCTAGGAGGATGTGAAACCCCTGACCTCTGTCTGGATAGTGCTGATTGGCCCTGTACTGATTGGCCCAGTGCTGATCATAAGCACTCTCCCAAGAGGAAAAAAACTTCTCTAGCAATACACACTAAACTGAGCATGTGCATGTGACGACGGATTCAGTCTGTATCAGGTGATCATTTCAACAAGAGAACAAGAGGTGGGGAAGAGAAGAAAAAATCAAACAGCCTTTTTACACAATGCAGATGATTAACCCCTTAGGTTCCACAGTGAGTATAACAAGCATGCTTTACTGCATTTACGGACTGATTTTACTGTTGTGGGTTTAGTAACACTTTAAGGCTCATTTACACTTGCTTCAAAATGTGGCGATGATTAACCTTTTTTAAAGCACTCTGAATGCCAATCAAAGCACCTGTCACTAAATAAAATGCTAAGCTTACAGTCCTCTTTACATGTTGCTTTGACTTTGCTTCAAAAAGTATACCTCATGGTGCTTCAAAGCATCTCCAAAGCCTCCATAGAAGTCTATGACAACACCTGCA